AAGCTGTGGCTGCCCCATCCCTGGGGGTGTTGAAGGGCAGGTTGGATGGGGCTTGGAGCAGCCTGGGCTGCTGGGAGGTGTCCCTGCCCATGCAGGGGTGGGACTGGATGGGCTTTAAGGTCCCTCCCAACCCCAACCATTCCATGATTCTACACTGGACATCTGCTCAGGCCTTTCCCCGTGCACAGAGGTTTTGGGTGCCCTCAAGCACGTGGCTGAAATCCCTGATGTCCCCAGGGTTTGTCCCAGGGACCGTTTCCCGGCTGGAGCTCCAGGTCGGTGCAGAAACCCCACGTTGTTCAGCCCGAGCTGCTTTCAAACGAGGGGTGGGGGACAAGCGGGGGGTGGGCAGGGCAGGGGGGCAGCCGGGAGCTCCGGAGCGCTGGGCAGTCCCCGCCCCTCATTAGCGACAAACCTCATTAGTGCCACGCTCAGCTGCGTTCAGAGAGGCTCGGGGGGGGCTTGTCAGGGCTGCTAATTGCTAATTATGGAAAGCATTTGATGGGTCTCCCGTGGGGGGAGCTTCCTCTCTCAGGTACCAAGTCTTGAGGGTGTCACGTCTGTCGTGGGTGGGAAGGGCTTGGCTGGGTGGGAAGGGCTTGGCTGGGTGGGAAGGGCTTGGCTGGGTGGGAAAGGCTTGGCTGGGTGGGAAGGGGCCCCTGGGAGGTCATAAATCCCGAGCCCCTCGGGTAGGGGCTCAGGCAGGAGGGGAGGAGAAGAAGGAAGAAGTAAAGGAGGAAGAAGAAGAGAAGGAGGTTGTCTCTGCCTTCTTTGGAGCAGAGCCTGCAGCTTTAGAGGCTCAAGGAGGTGGGTTAAAGTCAAGTCCCTGGAAAGGAGGTGCCCAGGGACCTGCCTCCTGTAGCCCCTTGGGATGTTGGGTCTGTGGGGCTGCAGGACCTGCAGCCTCCTCCTGCCTGGGAAGGGCATGGTCCCTGAAACAGCACTGGAGGGGAGTGTGGGGGTGGCAGGCAGGAGCTCGTGGAGTGGGGGCTGTGGTTTGGTTTGCCTTGGAGGCTTCAAAAAACACCCCAAGCCACCCTCGTGGGGGAGCAGGTTGAGGGCTGCCTGGGCAGGAAAGAGAGACTGACAGAGAGGGAATCCCGTATTGATCCCTTGGGTCAAGGTTCTTGTGTGATGTTGGAAAATGTCCCCTCCACTCTGGGGACAGGTGGGAGCCCAGAGGTTTGTCCCACACCTGGGGACCAGAGTCCTTGCAGCCCCATGTCCTGGCTCTGAGGGCTCAGCTCTGCAGAGAGACTTTTGGCCTCATCATCCAAAAGGCATTTCCAGGGCAGTGATTTAATTTGGCTGGTGTGTGGGCTGCAAATCTGCTTACTGGGTTTCTGGGAAGCCTGGAAGGGGCAGATGAAACAGAAATATCCTTCCCAAAAGCTCCCTCCCTTGAGGGTCACCCCCAGCAGCTCCTGGCACCCCAGTTCTCCTTGACTGGTGTTGGAGCCCGTGTGGTGGCTGCTCCTCTGCTGCTGCACCCCCGTGATCTGGGGGTCCTCCTCAAAAACTGAGCCAGTTCCAGGAGCTGGGACTGGGGTGCAGCACCCAAACCTTGCTCAGGAAGAGAAACCTGGGGTGGGGATGGGAGGTGGGGTCACCTCTTGGTGAGGGGCACAGGACAAGCCTGGAGGTGGCTGGAGCTGCTGCCTCCCCTCAGCTGCAGCTTTATCATCCCCTTGTGTTTGCTTGGTTGTTTTTTAAATTAAAAAATAGAGGGTTTGGGCTTCCTGAGGGCTCCACCTGGAGGAGCAGCGTGCAGACCTGGCCTTGCCATGGCCTCAAACCGTCTCTGGGGGCAAAGGGGTGAGCAGAGCTGGTAGCAGCACCTTCCAAGCAGGGGCTGCTGGTAGACCCCCAGAATAAGCACAGCCCCCCTCTCCCCTGGCAAATTGCTGGGATTTAAGCACAGGAGGAGCAGGAAAACTGTGATTGTTTGGGTGCTGCCATGTTTCCCAGCCTTGAGGTGCCCACCCTGGGTGCTGGCTCTGGGGGTGCAGGAGGGTGGGTGCCCCATGAAGGTGCTTTCCCTGGGAATGAGAGGGAATTAGCAATGTCAGTGTGTTGGGCACGTGGGCTCAGTCCCTGCCCCCTCGGGTGTCCCCCAAACACCAGCATTGGGAGGGGGGACAAGGGGTACATGGGGGCCATATCTCTCCTATTGGCAGCTGAGTCCTGCAACTTCCCAGCTGCTCCCCTGGGCTGTGACAGGTCCACGGACACCTCTGGGAAGCAGAATTCCAGCAGGATGCTCTGTGCTGCCCCCCAGCCCCAAAAGCTGCTGCTCCAGGTAAGGCCACGCTGGCAGCTCAGGGCTGGGGGTGGGTCCAAACCAATTCCAGCATCTGGGAGCTCTCGGTCCAGGAGGGGGGGGGGGGGGGGAGAGCAGAGCCCCGAGTGGTGGTTCCCAAGTGCTGTGACTGTTCCTGTGCCCAGGATTCCAACACCAGCCCTGCTGCTCTGCCCGCTGCCATCAGAAATAGCTGCAAAATTGCTAGGGAAACTGGGGGTTGCTTTCCAGGGGGGGAACCTGGGGCTGAGATTTAGGGTTCTCGGGAGCTGTATCAACCTTCTTTCTTTTTTTTGGTCTCTTAAGCTCTGGGTAGCTGAGCTCTCACACTGAGCACCAGGCTCTGGAAGGCACAGGGAATTTCAGAGCAGCCAAAAGCTTTTGCTGGCCCTGCAAGGAAGGGCTGGGAATTGCAACAGGAAGAGAAGCAGCAGGAAAACCCCACGGCAGTGCATCCACTGCCTTGTTCCCGGGTTGGAGTTCTTAAGGCATCTCCTTCAGGTCAGAACAGATAAGGCAGGGGTGGGCAGTGCAGGGGGGACAGGAGGATGGGCACATCCCTGCTGCCAAGCTTGGGCTCACCTGTTTGGCTCCTCACTGGATCTCCTGCCTTGTAGATATAATGGGGGAGAAAAAAGGGGGCTGGGTGTAGGTTTTGAAGTTAATGCAGGATCCATCCCCACAGAGAGCTTGGCCTGTGGGATGAGGCTGCTCCCCCAGGGAAAACCAAGGAGAGATGCCAAGTCCTGCAGGAGCTTTGCTGCTCCCACCAGTTCTTTTGTTCTCTGCCAACCCACATGGCTCTGGTTTGTTATTTTTTTAAAATAATCATATCAAAAGCCCCAGTCAAGCATCCTGGTACAGGCTGGGTCTACTCCTGGGCAGCTGAGGCTGGAATCGCTGGAGCTTGGAGGCTGCAGGAACATATTGATGGTGAGAGCTGGTCCCTGTTCTCCTCAGCTCTGCCCATGGACAATCCCTGGGGCTGTTCCTGCTCCCTGCTTTCCAGGCAGCTCAAAAGGGATTTTTAAAAGGCTGCAGCAGGCCCTGGACAGGGTGCACTGCAGGAAACCCCTCTTCCAGGCTGCTGATCCTAAATCCCAGTGGGAACAAACCTCAGCCCCTGTTTTCTGGGTGTTTCACCAAAAAGCTTTGATTCCCCAGCTCGCTGTGTTGGTGGGTTAAATGCATTTCCAGCCACCCCCCCACCCCCCCACCCAGCCCT